AAAAACTCCTCTGCAGGTTGTTTTCAAAAGCAGGAGAAAGAAAAACACACACTACCTGAATTGATTTGACTAATTTTTGAGTGACTCAGCTCCAAAGTCAGTATTGCATGCACAATGTCTCATGCAAGAGCCAGCTCAAATAAGACTTGCAAAAGGTACAGCCCTCAGTAGCTGGCGGTGTCACTGTGACAGTATACACTATGGTGTGAGGATCTGCACAGGCGAAAGATAAGTGTGTGTGCTCATACACACAGATAAAGTAGCTGACACCGGCTTTTTTGCTGGCAAAGGTTGTGATGCTGCTGTAGTTTGCTGTGGCTCTGGGCAGTGTCAGATGGGAAGTGCTTCGATGGCATGTTGTTCAGTGTACTTAATAGGGTCTCCCATGGGCCTGAGGACCCACTGTGAGCTCTCTGCCCTCTGTGGCAAGAAATCACAGCTGAGCCATCATAGCCCACGTCTTTTTGAAAGGCAGTGTTGACTCCAGTGTGTACTTTAATATTTTACTCATCAAATATTAAAGTATTTTACTCATCAAATATTTTTTATTTCATCAAATATTAAAGTATTGAGTACTTTTAATATTTTACTCATCAAAAGATGAGAAAGAGGATAATTGCTATGATTTTAATAAATGTCTTCAAAAGTCTGAATATTTTTTCCTTTTTTCTTTTGTTTTTTTTTCTTATGTTTTTGGAAATGTCTTGCCTGAAGTTGGCTTTAATTCTAATAGTCACTAAACTAGACTGGAAATGTACATTGTTGTTGCTTTTAGAACTTGATTCTAGATTTTAATGTATTACTGTCAATTTATATATATATATATACAAATTATATATATAACATATATAATATATATAAAGTATACATCATTATATATTATATATAAAAAATTATATATATTCTGGTTCTGTAGCCCAGGTTGGAATGCAGGATGTAATCACAGCTCAAATCAGCCTTTTAAACTGCTAGGTTCAAGTGATCCTTTGCCTCATTTTTCTCAAAAAGCTGAAAATTACAGATGTGAGCCACTGTACCCAGCCTATCAATTCTAAGCTTTTAATACATAAGAATTATTCTTTATGATAAATTAAGGAATAGAATATCTTTAAGGAAATACTATATCTTTAAGGAAACACAAAATCTCCAGTAGTTATAGATCCTATGAAAACCAATGCTACCACTAGCAATTTTGTGTATGTATATATAACACATACATACGTCAATATATATAATATATGCATGACCTTTTTTCTATATTTGGCAGTCACTGAAGAATAAAAATTAGAATTTATATTGGTGAAAAGTGAAATAAGTAATATTTGCTGTTTAGTAAAAACTTCATTTAGCAACGTAAATGAAGCTGCAGAAAGTGTGAATTGGATAATAAAGATATGTCATGAGGGCGTCACAGATGGACAACAGAGGTAAACTAGGAGAGTGATAGTGACACATGGAGGATGAGAGTATCACATATGTGCTTTACAAACAGCATAATGTGTGGGATTACGTAGCACAAATTAGAGCTAAGTAGAGAAGATGAGGAGAGTACGTATTCGAGGGTATAACGGTTGATAATTTTCTCAAAGTAAACAAATGAATTGTATTCAGGAAGTCAAACAATCCTCATTTTGGATGGGTAAGACATAAACTTACTTTGTTTTCAATGTGCAAAACAATATGTTTTTGTCTGATCTTTTTAGTATTTTCTTCTTTGGTGACTGATTCATTATGATGTGTTTAAGCTGGAAACCACCACCAAACATGAAGAATCTCTTAAAATCAGCCAAAGTAAACTGTTTCATTGTGAGGGAACACTTCATAGAATGACAACAGACAGCTCCACAATTGTAAATGTAAGAATAAGACAGTGGACTAATATTTGCAAAGTGTCAAAAAATGTGACTGCCAATAATGAGATGAATGTAGATTGGAAATACCTTTATATAAGAGGATATAAGATCTCTATTACATAAGTATAATAAAAAAATAAAGGGGTTTATACCCTACTAAGGGCTTCTAGAACAGTACCCATGAGATCTACTCTTGAAAGATACAATTCCAACACCTCTGCCACATTTGAATCCGGTTTTATTAATTGCTTTGTCTCATAACAGTGTTTCCTTTATGTATCTTTTCTGTTTCTATATATGTCTGCTAAGTTTACTCAAAAAGTGAACTATGTAGAGTAGACTATTATAGAAAGCAAACCTACACGTGTTCCCTTTTAATTAGGCTATGTGTGTTTTGAGGGAGAAGGTGGAATCAATCTGATCAGGAGTTGATTTGGTTTTGGGACTTATTACTCTAGAGTTAACCCGTGCACTATAGGTTTCCCTGCTCATTCAGCAATACTTGTGTTCCGGATTGGACTAGTTTAGCAAGAAGCGCAGTATCTACTGTATCCTCATCCTTAAGTTCTCCTCCAAATTCCACTCAGTGTCCCCCAGAAGACACTGCTTTGACCTATTACCAACAAGTTTTTGCTCTAGCTGGGGCAGTGAAGAGAATAGAGAAGCATTCTCTGTCATTCTGATGAAGCCTGTGTGACAGGTCGACACTGCTTCTGGGTCTTCATGGTTGAACCTCTTAATGATCCTGTCCAACTTTCAGGTGTAGGATCTAAATCATCCACATGTGGTTTTCCTCTTTTTCCTTTTCCCTTTCCAAAGTTCAGTTAGTTTTACCAATGTCCTAAGGGCAATGGCATTCCTTATCTTTCCCTTTGTAGTTTTAGGGTTTTGTCATTAATGGGAGAGATGGTGAAGTAAATACAGGTCTTAAAATGTGATCTTCTGAATTCTTCACAGACTGTAAAAACAAATGTATGTGGCACATATATACTGTGGAATACTATGCAGCCATAAAAAAGGATGAGTTCATGTCCCCTTGCAGGGACAAGGATGAAGCTGAAACTATTATTCTCAGGAAGCTAACACAAGAATAGAAAACTGAACACTGCATGTTCTCACTCATGAGTGGGAGTTGAACACTGAGAACACATGTACACAGCGAGGGGAACATCACACACCAGGGCCTGTTGGAGATACAATGGGCCAGGGGAGGGATATCACCAGGATAAATACCTAATGTAGATGATGAGTTGATGGGTGCAGCAAACCACCATGGCACAGGTATACCTAAACTATATAACAAACCTTGAATGTTCTGCACATGTCCCCAGAACTTAAATTATAATAATAAAAAAAGGTTTATGTCTTAATGTTGATGTTAACTTATCATAAATTAAATTATATGTGTGTGTATATATATATGCATTTGAAAAATTAGGCATAACTTCAAATTCATTTATTTCAAGCTTCTTATTTTACACATTAAAATATTTAAAATATATATTATATATAATTTTCTTCTGCATGAAAAATACTTATTTCTTGATTGAAATGATTACTGAATCTTATCCTGGTTAATTTTTAAGTTTCCTAACGATTACCTTCCAAAATATTATTCGATATTCTAACTTCTAGTATCAATTAATGGAGTTCACAATTTATCCAAATATATTTATCTATAATATAACATTTGTGTGTTTTGATTCTTCTTCTTAAACTTTTTCAAGTTGAGATTCATTAATTTGTTGCATTTTCATCTTATCTTTGTTTTACAGAATTATTTTTTATGAAGAGATCACAATTTATTTAGCAATTCTACTGTTGATTAGTATTTATTTTGTCTCCAATTTGGAGCTACACAAAAATTGATGCAATGATCAACACTGTGTTTATCTTGAAATACACATAGGCAACCTGTGGAATCTATTTTGTGAGTAATATCTAGCCCATAAGGAATGCTTATAGTCAGTTTGCCAAAAAGTATTTCAGTTTACATCCCTCCAGCCAAGAATAACTTTTACTGATTCTTTGTCTTTCACAACACACAATATTATGTGTCTTTAAATTTTGCTAATTTTTATGGAGGTCTGTAGTTCAACTTATGGATTGATTTTTATTATTCTGAGGATCAACACAAGTAATCTCCTTTTTCTCATATTTGTGCAATTATTTATGCCTCCAATTTTATGAGGTGCCTGTTCAAATATTTTCCCACTTTATATTGTCTATTTTCTTTATTGATTACATTCATTAATCACATGTATTGTATTTTATTGCATGTATGTTAAGGTTAAATATTTTTCTCCACAATTTGTTTATATTTTAATTCTTGGATGGTATGGTTTGAAACACAGAAGTCATCACTTTTGATATAAACTAACTAAATTTTCCTTCTTAATTGTTACATTTTTGTCTTGGATAGGAAATCTTTCTCTGTGAGAATATTTTATGGTGTTCCTCCACCAGAACGTGAATCCATGTGTAAAATGAATTGTGTATGGTTTGAGTAAAAATAGGGGTCAGTATTCAGTTATGTCCATTTGAATATTTAATTGATCCAGCATTGTCCTGATCACCTTATAAATTTCAATTGCAGGAAAAACACTAATAATGTGTATGAGCATTTGTATTTAAGATGAGATTTAGAAAGATAAGCACAGCACAGGAGGTCACCAAGATGACCTCAAAGCATAGATTCATAAATAAAACACATGGATAAGTATAATACTGTTAGATGAAGAGACAGAAAATATTGCTAGGTTACCACGAGGCCTTGTCTCCAAGTTTTTCATGAAGCTCCAAGATCCCTACTTTGTTCCTTGATTTTAACTTAAGCTTAGACAACTCTGTCATCTATTATTTTATTTGTGACATTCAGAAATAATGAAAAACCAGAGTATATTCTATTCCATACATCATGGGCATGATTTTTCAAAACGATTAAACAAAGAATCAATACACATAGTTTTAATATTTTCACCATATTTAATAGAAGCACTATCAACAAATGATGACATTAGAATGCAACTAGACATTAAATATAACTTATTTGTCCTGTTTGATGAGGTGCAAAAAAGAGGGCTTTCTGTGATAAATGGGTTCTTACCAGCATATAGACACACTTCTGACTTATCTCTTCAGAAGTGACTACAGTAAAAAGGATAGGCCTGAGAGAGGGGAGAAGGAGCAATTAGGGATGGTGTATATCAGAACTTTGATCGACATCAACAAAGGTCATGGTTCTACCTTCACAATCCAGGAATAATCCTACCCGACTGGTAGGTCTTGGAACATATTGCACCACAAGTGGAGGTGTGGTGGCATCACAGTGAGCATCCTCCTTAACACACATCCAAGAAGAAAGAGTCCTCCTCCATCTGTCTTCATTCTGTCTCTTTCTTTCCAATAATTACAGACACCAAAAGCTCCAATTCCAAGAGTCCCCCACATGAACCTCCCAAAATATTTGCCAGATGTGAAAGTCTGAGCACCTATACAAGAAAACATTCAGATTTGGCAGTGAAATGGGGATCATCTTGAGGGTCACATCCAACATTCATAAGCCAAATCTCCATACAGGAAGATATGACTATTGGCTCTTTCAGGCTGCAGAGTAAAATCAATCAAAATATAAAAAAAAGTATAGATACATGTAAATAATACAAATTGGAATTCTGAGGAAAATTTGTTCACTCAAGAAATTTGCTACTATGACAGGAGAATTTTGATTACAAACATTTAATCAAGTATATGATGATTAATATTCTCTATAGAAAAACAATATCTCTAAAACAGATTGAAATGCATTAAAACTCAAAATTGAGAGTTGAATATAAAACCAGCTCGTTTTAATCCAATTTCCAAATGTAAAAGAGAAATGTTATATGCCCCGAATGCCCTTTAGCTATCAAGGTCATTATTAAAATATTTCTTGTTCTTAAATACTAGTGATATACTTTCACAAGAATGTGGGGTAATGATTTAGCTTATTCGGGCACTGCTTTAGATAACTGGATAAAAGTCCATATGTTCAAATTATAAGTAGTAACTTAAGGCAGATTTCTTGCAAATATTTCACTCAGTCACTCTGTGGACTTCCCTGCTAGCTCTAGATTGAAACTGAATTTTAGATTTTACACGTAGATCTTCATGGTGTAACTGAACTGAAATTATCATTTCTATTTTTACTTCCTATTTACAAAATAATTTCTTCCTTCTTTTTACATATTAAGTCGAATTTTTATGTTATATCAATAATACACATTTATTGTAAGAAAATACAAATACACCAACAAACTGCTGTGAACTCTATTCCCCAAAAACTGTTTTTTTAACAATGCAAGTGAAATACAGCAAAGAAATATAAAAATTTTTATGTAACTTTTGGATTATTAAGCTTCCTTCTGAGCATTGTTCCATTTATTCAATTTTTATTTCTTTATGTCATTCCATTTACTCCAAAATATAGCCTATCCATGTGAGCCCAGAACATATTTGTTTTTCACTATGTTTTACTCTTCATATTATAAACCGAACTATAAATAGAAACATCACAGATACAATAGGTTGCATAGTCATGTCGCCTCACTTCCTTCTCTGAAATGAAATAACGATTTGATGAAGGGGTAAAATATTACCCCCGTGATTCTAACAAGAAGTGATACACTGTGGGAATTCTGCCAATAGGCTGACACTCACCTCTGAATCCATTGAGCCTGTCCAGCAGTCCAGATGGGTCTGCACTGAGCCTCTGATTCACAGGCTCGGCACCCTGCAGGCAGCAGGGACTCATACCTGCAAGGAGAAAGATGCAGTTACTACATCTATAGCCAAAAGTACATAAAAATCACTACTTTTATTTAAAAGACATTTCATGAGAATCCCTTTAATTCACAATTTGCTAATACCAAAATTATCATTTTCTATTTCAGATTCATTCTTATTCACAGTTCCTGATTTTCAAGCATGTTAGAAAAGTCTGTCTGAGTGAGAATTCATTTGGATCTTTCTCTTTATCTCCAAAATTAGTAAGGATCATTAATCTTAAGACCAAGAAAATATTCAAAAATAAAATACTGGGTTCTAGATCCCCTCACCAGAATTTCCTGATATCACCATCTGGAAAGGTGGGGTTATTTTTAAGACTGTTGCATCTGTTAAGCTCCTCTCAAGGCCAGGGTGTTGAAATTTGCTCCAGAAGGAGATCTGCCTTTATAACTGAGGTTCTCTGAGGCCTACACAGTTCAAACATTCCAAATAGTTTGTCTCATCTATTTTTCAGAATTATATATTTAAATATAAACTAGAAATCATCAACACTTTTCACTGCTAAAACACTTTCCCCTTCTTTCTGGCTTCCCTGGTTGACTTTAAGCCATGTAGTAAATAATATTTTTCATCCAAATATGTAGCTTTTTGAGCAAATAAAAAGGAAATTAGGAATAAAGATGTCTACTTTTTATTCTTCTTTCATTTTTTTCTTTCTTTTTTATTTTATTTTTTGTTTGTTTGTTTGGTTGGTTGCTGGTTGGTTTTGGTAGAACTTCATTGGACTGCCTAATAAAATCACTAAGTATAGTAACAAAAGAGAAGACAACATAGCGTGGGGATGGAGAAAGTACAACCAGTGCAAGGTAATATTTCAATATCTGAGCCAATTATGCCTTCAGTGTCATAGTTCTGCTTGATATTTGTGAAACTGAAAGAGACCTGTCAAATCTTGGTATGCACTCACCCGTGTAATATGTGTCCAAAAGCCTGTAAGAAAAAAAGAAAAAGGCTTAGTGCTTTCCACATGATGCAATTTCCACTAAGTTCACTATGAGATTTGGAGGCAGTTTCTGAGATATTTTCCTACAATTTTCCCTCCTGAAAGCACTTTTGCTTTTTCAAGGAAAATCCCAGTCTATCATATGTCATGAATTAATGTTCTAATAAAGTCTCAGCCTTGAAGACATTCTCTTTCCAAGTGAAGGAAGAGGAGGCCCAATAGAGTTGTCCTGTGCTGTAAATCCACAAAGAAATTACTCAGTCATCTTCCCTAAGCCCTGTTACCAAAATGAGCAGATCCAAAATAATATTAATGATCCTAGATTCCGTAACTTCTCCATCATGCTGTGTCTCCAAATTAACCTGAGTGCAAATGAATCACTTCTCATTTTATCCACTTTCAAAAATCCTAAATATATCATTGACTTCTGATGGGAAATATTTCTTGAGGCTGTTACTTTGGTCATTCCACAAAGTTTTGTTGCTGGTGGATAAAGTAGAGGGACTCGGTTGGTAGAACTATAGGAGAGGCGCAGTAACTCCCAACTGAGTAGCATTAGTTATAGAAACGTGTTTTTAGAAACAAATCATGGAAGTAAAGTGGGTTAGATTCAGGAGAGAGGAAAAACACCATGTATGTGAAGGCCCTACATCCTGATAATTCCCATGGTCAGCTCCATACCTGAGTAGCTCCACATCTGCTTTATGGCACATTTGCTTCAGATCCTCACACATTCCTCTTAAAAGTTCCCTCGAATGTTCCATTCTGTTTTGCTTTCAATGAGTTGCTGAAAAATGTCCTCGCCTCTTTGCAGCCTCTCCAAGTGATGTTGCCTTCTTCGTGGAGAAATGCAGGCATCTTCTGGATATTCAGCTCTGATTGTTTCTATCCTTAAACTCACATAACTTGCAGTGACAAGAGTCAAAACAGAAATGTTGTATCCATCTTCTGATTTCACTGATTCTCTTAGCATTCTGAACATCCAATACTTTTTAACTCCTAAGTCTTGTCAATTCTCAGATTCCACATTTTATTCTTCTCCTTTTTTCTGCATTAATACCATAAGTAGTTTCTGCCAGTTACGCGATTTGATTAATGATAAATGTTTTTAAGATAGTTATATGAAAATGATTTCTTCTCTTCCAACACATTTATAGAAAGAAAACAATTTTGCTTAAGAATTAAATTATCGAGCAATATTGGCTAGATAGGAAACCATTATTTCTATTTTGGAGAATTGGGGCAATTTATGTAAACCTACTATATGAAATTATGTAATCACTACAGACTAGCATTGTCAACCCAATGCATTTCACCCAGCACCGTATAAGTCTAAGGGAAGTTTCTGCATTGATTCTCTTCCAAACTCACCCTAGTCAGCAACATGGACTCCTTTGTGGTTCCCTCAACTCCCCAAATAAATGTAAATGAAAATATTGCTGCACATGCTATTTTCTTATATCTAGAATTATTTTCTATATATATACATATTTACAGTATATGTACTCATATATATATTTATAGCTATATATGGATATATGAGGAATATCTATGTGTATCTGTGTGTGTAGATATATATTCTCATATATATCCACATATATATATATGTATACACACACCCAATGTTTTTGTGATACACATATATATTCTATATTTATGAGGAAGGGAAGGCAAACAGAGGATATATATTTCTGTTGATCGTATATTTTGTTTCAGGAATTTTTCCAAGAGCCTTTTTTTTCTGACCACACCAATTAAAAATCCAAACCTCATCCCCAGTCCCTAACCTCTGTGCTCCTTTTCACCTTCCTGCTTGATTATTCTCCAAAGACACTACCACACTCTAACACATCATACTTCACATATCTGCATGGTGACCATTTGCTTCTCTCATTTCAATTGCAAGATTTGTGTGTTTCTTTCTTTTCTTCTTTACTACTTCTAATTTTCGTTGATATTTGACATATTACTGCTAGGTATTCATAAAATATTTTTCAATGAATTTATATTAGAATGAATTAATGAATTAATATTTGATATCATACCCTCAAGATAAATGTCCACAAAGAGAAAATAATTTCAGAATTCTTCCTTTATCCCAAAGTTCTCCTTTATATTAAATACTCAGTTCCCATATTTCTCATTTGTGAACCTAAGATTACCTAGAAAGTGTACATTTCACCCTCTTTTCCATTACTATGTGTGACTTATTCAACATTAATTGGTTCTGATACTTAATTTCATGCTTCCTCTAAATTTGCACTCTTGCTCCTTCTGCCTGATATTTAACTCACATTTCAAATATATTTGCCCACCAGGATTCAAATTCATGCTGACTCAGCCTTAGAAGGTTCACTTGATATTCCATGACTGTCAAATAATGCTTGTGCCCAGAAGTTATCCAGGCAGCCCAATAGAATGCTGTGAAATGGCCCAGTTTCTTTGTATTTCTTGGTTGTGTATTGCTATAGGTTTGTATGGAGACACATGAGCATGCTTGGGTAACATCTGTCGTCTGGTTAGAAATCCTACCAAAGAGTCACACTATCTTATATAAAATTAGGTATTTTTTCATGTGTTTTTTTCCTTCATTGAATTCCAGAAATACTATGGATTGAGATCAAGTTCCTATTTTAAGAGTCACCCATTTGTTCACCATAAGTTACTGAAGAAGGTAGAGTAACATGGTACTAACCTTCCAGCATCTGGTTCTGGTGGTTTCCATGTTCAGGTTTCTGTGATTTTCATGCTTTTTCCCATAAAGACTGCATTTTTCTTCAGGAGCTTCCTACAAAAAGAGCCATGAATTGAAGCACAAGTGAAGACACTAAAGAACCTCGCTTCTCTGATATACGAAGGACCCCAAATGAGAGACAAATTGGTCCATAGAAAATAGTATGCTTTGTTTCTCCAAATGTTTGTCAAATGTGACAGGCATGAAGCCAAGGAAGCTCATGACAGACATGCTTAAAGGGACACAGAGAAGGCATCATCCAATCTCCAAGGAAATAGACTTACAAGAATTTCATGTGTCCTTTATAGAAATAGATCTTCAGAGGCATCACTTACCCGGTGTTCCTCAGCAGCCCACTCAATGGGACAGTGTTTCTAGGGTCTCGGTAAATTCTTGGAGAGTTGAGCATATCAAACAGAGCAGGGCTCTTGTCCACTTCACAGAACATCTTCTTTATTTCGTGAGTCCCACATATCTGCTCCTCAGAGGTAAGGAATTGCCTGAGACTTGCTTCTTGGCAATGGAAGCCATCTTATTCAAGCGAATGTTAGTTCTGAGGTTTCTCTGCCATGTTGTCTTCTTGCATTTAGAACACTGAGGAAGAACCGTGATGTCTTGCCAGTTGAGGTAGAAACAGGGCCTGCAAAAGCTGTGCCCACAGTCTATGGGGTGACTGCCCATGAAGTAGTTCAAGTAGATGGGGCAGGTGAGTTCCTCTGGAAAACTTGCAAGATTCTAGAATTCATGTTTCTGAGGAAGAAAGAGCAGCATGTCATTTGGGGTCTGCTGGTGAAAATCTGTCAACATGAGGTGATATGTGATAGGTATATTTTCTTCTCAACAGTGCTCATTAAAGTGAAAACAACTATTTCTCTCTGCAACAAAATGAAAATTCATACACAAGGAGAGTCTTCAGGCTTTATAGCAGACACCACTGACTAGATGACTCACAACCCTCTTCCACCTCTAGTTCCTGCCTCCATAACATAATGCAAATCTATTCAATAACCTATTCCTGGGATTGATATGAAACTTGGTTTTAGTCTTATGGTCTATAATAAATCATGTTTGCCTCTGTTCTCTTTCAAGCAACCATTGAATGACTAGTGGAGAGGAGTAGAAAACTCACACTGGGTAAGAAAACACGAGAAGATGGTCAGAGGGTTTCATGGCATATTTTCAAAAGAGGGACCCAGAAGCTCCGGCTCTTTGAAAAAGCAACCCAAAACCAACCAACCGACCAGATAAACAAAAAGACAACAACTAAAAACCAGGGTCTATGTTCACTAGGAGAGAAATAAATAATGAAAGATATTGGGTTATTTTTCTTGTGGCTTAAATTAACTTCCTCCTGGGGCTACTCAAACTATGAACTCAAATATTGTCAAATTTTTTAAACTGAAATATGTACAATTATATTACTATGGTATTATTGTTAATTTTAGGTGTTGACTTGACTGGATTAAGTAATATATGGAGAATTGGTGAAGCATTATTTCTGGGTGAGGTCTGTAGGAAGGTGTTTCCAGGAGACATGAGTTGGTGATCTGAGGGGGAACAGCAGCCCCCACCGGGTGGACACCATCCAATCAGCTGGGAGCTCAGACCGAAAAAAAGGGCAGAGAGAAGGCCATTTGCTTTCTCCCTCTCCTAAAGCTGATTCACCAGCCAGGATATTGGTATCTCCAGGACACCAGCTTAATGACAGCCTATGTTCAACTTCTCAGGACTCATAACTGCTGGAAGCAATTTTTGTAATAGACTCTCCCCTGTGCAGTTATATGTTGAGTGAGGACAGACATATGGTCTGGAGGGAATGCATTATGCAAGCTTTAATTGTTTGAACATCAAGCCGATTATACGTGCACAACCTAGATGGTATAGTTTACATATAGTATAGCCTGTTGTTCCTAGGCTATAAACATGGGCAAGTATGTCCTGTATGGTATACGAGAGAGAAGTGTAACACAATGGTAAGTATTTTTGTGTGTGTGTATATATATATATATTTTAATTATTTTATATACATATGTATATATACACACACAATTTATATATATTTATAGTTATAGTTACGTATACATCCTATGATTCTGTCTCTGGAGATCCCTGATCCATGCAAACTGCACCTTGCTTTGGCAGTTTGAAGGCATTTACCTTACTGTCTTTTACGAAGCAGTGTTAAACTTATGCCAAAAAAGTGAAAATTTTAGAATTGCATATATTTAGGTTGGGTGCGGTGGCCTGCGCCTGTGATGCCAGTGAAATTGGGAGGCTGATCGGTGGACCATCTTGAGGTCAGGAGTTCGAGACCAGCCTGACTAACATACTGAAACCCCGTCTCTAATAAAAATACAAAAATTTAGCCAGGCATAGTGGTGCCTGTAATCCCCACTACTCAGGAGGCTGAGACAGTAGAATCACTTGAATCCAGGTAGTGGAGGTTGCAGTGAGCCAAGAGCCAAGATCATGCCATTGCACTCCAGCCTGGGCGGCAGAGCAAGATTCCATCTCCAAAAAAAAAAAAAAAAAAAAACCCAAAATGCAAATATTTTTCAGAGGTCATCTGAGCCAATAACAATAATTAATAACTCATGTCATAAAATGAGTAGTACATATGAGTTACAAATAATAACATTAAGTAGGTTTAAGACAGGTAGATATTTTTTATCATTGTAATTTACTATTTGGTAATAAGTTGCACTCACCCCAGGGCTCTAAGAATGCTTCCTACAAAGATTTTTCCAAAAAAAGTTCTTTTAAGTACTCCCAAGATCAGGAGCTCATTCCCTGCAGAGCTGACTTTCTGAGGCCACCTGAATGCAGGTAACTGTAAGTGCTGTCCTCCTCTGGAGCAAAATGAGCTTCTCTCTTCTACATCCGTTTATGTGAATCTTTGAAGACCACACCCACCCTTTTAGTGGTATTTAGTATAAGAAAGGTGGAGACAGAGTTGATTAGGTTTATGCAATATTTAGTACACACCTTTTCATCACTGATTAAATTAGCATCACACTAATACCAAAAAACTGCTGCTGAATGATGCATACCTATCATCAATCTTATCAGGGTAAACATATGCTAGAAATTAACTAAGATTGATTAATACTGCTTCTTGAGTTTTCCGCTGCACAAGCTTCCAGCAATATTAATTGCTTTATTTATTCTAGAGAAAGGTTCTCCTTGTGGTGTGCAGTGGTACAATCTTAGCTCACCGCAGCCTGAACTCCAGGCTCAAGTAATCCTCTCTACTTAGTTGAAAGCAATAAGGACTAGAGTTTTATGCCATTGCACATAGTTAATTTTTTTATTTCTTTATTTTTCCAAACATTGCGATATAGCTATACGTCTAGTCTAGTTCCTAATTCCTGCTCTCTCGTTATTATCCCTCTGATTTCAGCCTCCTTAAAACGATGAGAAAACAGGGTGAGCCACATGAACCAATGTAAAGCTCCTTTTTCTAAATGATGTTCTCAGAGTAGGCCATAGGGAACTAAAATTTCCATTTTTGTTTTTTAGCACTCCTAAGAGTATTCTACTAAGACTAATCAAATAACCTCAAATAATAATTTAGCATCTTGTCAAATTTTCAAAAGTTTTGCCAATCTCAGGTAAAGCGCGAAAGTTAATTTTTAACTGCTTTCCTCCACATAGGCATAATATCCTAGAATGGCTAGAAAAGTACCATGAGTATTGATTTTGGGATTATAAACATCTATTAGGACGTAGGCAGATTCATGAATGCAGAACTCCAGATGATGGGAAAGACTGCATGCTTTTTTCATCTCCAAAGTTTGTTTTGTGATATGAACTCCAAAAGAAGGAAAAGATTCCAGAAGGGGACACCCAAATATCTTCTCACAGAGGAATTATTTGCCAGTGCCTCACAAGATTTATGTTCAAGACTGACAGAACTGTGGAAACATATCTATCAGTCTATATCAGCCAAGGTTCAAAGACAAAAGCAGAACTCTTAAGATATATGTACACTTAGGGAGATTCATATATGGACTTAGTACATGGAATTGGTTTATTCAATTGTGGGCTGACAAGGAAGTATAAGGTCTCTGGTACAGTCAATCAGGAAAACAATTCGCTGTTTGATCCCAATGGTCATGGAATAAAGCTGGTGCATTTGGGAGCAACTGAACAATAGTGATCCTTCACACTTTAGTCTTGTCCAAGGAATGTCTAAGTCTTCCTTCAGAGAACTTTCATGGCAAAGGGAGACTTGCTGAGTAAACTCTTGTTAGTCTCCAGAATTAGAACTTTTACTTACATCTGAAAAACTGCTTCAGCAGGGCCTAGGTTAGCATTTCATTGAATAAGAAGTTAAGGTGTATATGCTACAAATGGTTGCTGCTGTCATTTCTCCTTGTAGTTAAAGCCAGCTAACTTGACACATTGAGTGTGTAAAACATTAAGAGGTTATATGCCAGCAATTTAAGAAAGAGAAAATAGGATTCCGCTCCTAAGTTTACTGTGAAGACCACCAACAGACTGAAACCCCTGAGTTATACATTCTGTGACTCAATACATTGAGGTAATCCAAGTGTCCACACAGAGGTGAGATCAGCCCCGGGGTGCATGGAGGGTACTGGGGCTCAGCCTGCACCTCCAAGCAGGGGAGTGGGAAGCCTTGAGACCTTAGTTCATGGACTGGACCCTGCAGACATTCTCTGCTGAGATTCAGTGGCTTCCTGGTGGGGCTCTGGTATTCCATCACAAGGTCTGATGACTATGTGTATCAGGAAAGAGTTGGGGCAAGGAGAGAAAGGAAAAAGTTGCAACTTCTACTTTAATTTCACAAACTTTTTTGCACCACATAATTTACTCTCATCGCAACAGTCAACTTTAGGCAGATGTAGTTCAGAGCCCTGAAATCAGGAGCTCTCAATTCTAGACCTACTTGTCTACTGTGGCCTTATTAATGAAACAACCTATTTTCCTACATGAATCTCAAACCATGAAACAAATATGAGAATGTAAGACCCCTTTGTAGTTGACATTTTGTAGGTTCTAAAAGTGCTAACCAAGCCATATGGATTATGAGATGGGTGTGGGCATTAGAGATGTGTGTATGGGCAAGAACAACATATGATGGATAAAGAGCACTCTAACCAATTTTGAACACTTCTCATTTCCCACAGCATCCCTTTCAATACAAAGGCTTCTTTTTGGACCTGAGAGTCTGTTTCGTTCTAGCATCTGAAACCTTTCCTCTACAACAAAGATTTCTATTGAATTACTATTCTATTTTTGAGAACCGGTAAGAGACTCTCTCCCTCATCTGGGTTTCATAACTCATTACAAAATTTTCATACGGGAGTTGGGGGATCTATTTCCTGCTTTCTTAATATGCATAGAAACCTGAATTTATTTTACTTTGGAAATGTTAATTTTTAATGGAAATTTTAATAAATTCAATTATAGCATATTATTCAAAATTCAACAGTTATAATTCCACGAAATTGTAATTACTACTTGTTTCATTTTGTTCACATGGAGAAACCTGTAACAATTTTATCCATGCTAATGAAAATGCATTAATTTAATAATAAATTATATTTTGCTTTGTGACCTCTGAATGTCCAAGACTTTTTAAAAATCTTTTAAATTTCTTTTCTTGAAATCCCCATTTATTAGATATTCTTCTGAAACCTCTGTGATTTTCTCTTCAAATCCTTATTTATTTCTGTTAAGATAAATATACAGAATAAGGAAGGGAACAATGTACCCATGGGCT